TTGATGACTGACTTTTCCACAATGGCTGCATAGTTGGCATTTCCACTAGCAATATATCACGGTGCGAATTCGGTACATCCTTGTCAACACTGGTTACTTTTTATTTTTAGTTTAATCATAGCCATCCTAGTGGATGTGAGTGCTAATTCATTGTGGTTTTGATTTGTATTTCCTTGGTGATTAATGATACAAAATGTCTGTCTTTCCATGTATCTATATATCTTCTTTGGAGAAATCTCTTCCTGTTCTTTCACTGTTTTCAAAATGAGTTGTCTTTTATGGCATTCACTTTTAAGAGTTCTTTCAATATTCTGGATACTTGACTGTAATGCATCTTTTGCAAATATCATTTCCTGTTCTATAAGCTGTATTAATGTTGTTACTTTTGGAGGAGTTCAGTATTCCTACTTTTTTCTTTTGTTGCATGTGGTTTTGGTGTCATTAAGCAAGCTTTTGAAGAAAAATATGGCTGGTGGATGATAAAAGGGAATTTCAAGCTATTTTTAAGAAACATATTTGGTTTTTTTCCTTCCCCAACTAATTTAATCATTCCTTATAGGAATCCAGGCATGATAAAGAAAAGATAGAAAAGAAAGAGAAACGGGATAGTTCAGGAGGAAAGGAAGAGAAGAAACAATATCCTTTTCATCTTTATATTTCACTCACTGTAATAGAAGATTGATACTGTTCATACTTAGAATTAAACCTTTTATATATGTGGTCTAAATACACAGAAGCTTATTAGTTTCAAGGTGATATTTATAGTTGACCTTCAGTGTTTGATCTGAAAAAAGAGATTTGATCTTGATTTTTTAAAAAATAATTCTGTAGTGAACTGAGATGGTTTATGACACGTTTTATAGGCTCTGTGTATTTTTGTTGTTATCCCTTTGTATTGTTACCACGAGACAAAAAGAGGGACAGTGAATCCTTGGGCTGGGAAGCATGGTAACCAGAAGGGCAGAATGATGTGACGCATAAGCAGAGCTCCTAGAAGTGGAGATTACTAGGCTGATCAGAGCTAATTAGGCTTGGAAGACTAAGGGCTTACACCAAAAGGTAGGACACTATTCTTCCCTGCCCCAAAGTTGTTTTCCCTTAATTTGTCATCTACTCATAAGTCCTCTGACAAGCACAGATAATGAACACTTTCAACCAAGGTGAGTATACTTTCCCCTCCTTTTCATTTAGAGATACACCTAGACGAGGTCTGAAAAGGGTTTTAAAAACTGCATCCTTTTTGAAGGATACAGTTACTTGAATTTTTACCTGAATATAATGACAGAGTCTTCTTGTGTATGGATATAAAATTTGCAGTTATTTTAAACCTTTCACTTTAAGCTTGTTTTCACTTTATGCCTGCTGATTGATCACACTCAAAAAAAAAAAATCAAAATGTATCTGAGAACATCTGGCTTTCTCTTTGCCACCTAGTCCCATCTTCTGGATAATTAATTATGTTTTTAAAGCACCAGTAGCCCAATAAGTGATGGTGGTATTTGTACTTTACAGGTGAAGAAATTAAAACTCTGAAAGATTGAAGCAGGTCACAGAGACATTAAAAATGGAATTGACACATAAAGACAGACTTTAGTGTTTTCTGTTCTTTGGGCCTTTAAGTTTTGTGCCTTTCATTCTGCCACTGCTCACGTTTTGCAAAGCCAGCAATTAAGTTCTGTACTTTTTTAAATAGGTAAATTTGTTTTCAAGGTGATGCATTTGTTTGGTATGATGAATAAAAATTACATGACCACCATAATGGATGGACAGTTCATATTCTAATATAGCCTCTTTTTTGTTGAGGACTTAAAGTCAGTATCTGAATAGTTACTGTTGGATGTTTTAGGATTATTGATGTAGGATGATTTGTCTCCTCCATTAATGGTTCCAGGTAGACATAGTTGAAGTTGACTTTACTTCTTATAGCTCATTTTTTTGCTTCCATTGTAATGGTCACTTCTTAATAATATTACACACATACCCACTATTTATGCCTTATCTCTAATCTGAGCTGCTTTTAATCATTTATGGAGCCAGATATATAACAAACCCTACTTAGGGGTTGGTTAAGGTTGAGAAATGTCTGGAGGGCCAGTTTAGTATAAGGGTTTGGTTTAGGATGTGGGCTTTGTCATATTTATTTTAGGTGCAATGCAGAATTTGAGGTTGTCAGATAAGTGACCTAAGGAAGGGTGTGCTTTTTCTGTTCTGTTTCTCCCTGCTTTTTATCTGAATAGTAGAGCAGGATAAGCAGTGGTATGGAGAACATTTAGCATTTAATAGTTTTTCCCCTTATTCCTCGAGGCCCTGGCTGACCATGAACTTGCTATGTACATCAGGCTGGCCTTGAAATCACAGAAATTCACCTGCCTCTGCCTCTTGAGTGCTGGGATTAAAGGTGTACTACACAATTCCACCTGACTAATAGACTTTTTTTGCTTTTTGATTAGGAAGATTGTAAAAGAAATAGTATTACTAAGCCTTCTAGGCATCCTTCCTACTGTCTTGCCTGGGGAACTGTAATATATATTACATTGTATATAATATTATCTACCTACCATATATTATACATACTATATATTGTTTTTATTCTAATCATAACCTTTCTTTTAATTTGAAATTTTTATTGAACATTCCACTTCCCCGTTAAAGAAACAAAAAGCCTTCCTGTCAAATTTTCATTAGGAATGAATCAAACATAGTCACTGATAAAACTTCACTGTGATTTTATATATCTGTTTTCTCTCAGAACCTAAGTTTGTCTTTTTAGACATGAAGGTTTTGATACAGATTTCATCGAGTTATTCTTACACTGGCCATGAAATATCTCTTGGGAACAAAAGGTGGGGGTTGTAGGATTGGACAGGACTAAATATTTGGCTGGTAGTCTTATAGTAAATCTTCTTGACCCTGATAACTGTGTGTAGATATATTTAGTTTGTTGACAATTATGTCACACATACTTTCTTCTGAGGCAGACTCTTACTCTTGGGAGGCTGTGATTGATTTTCTTCTGGTTTTTCTGGCTTCCTCTGTGTTTGATTTCATTCTGTGGTTGAGCAAGCTATTCTGTTTTTCTTTCTTTTCGATCAGAAATCTCATCATTTCCTTTGGTACTGTTGTCTTTCTGCAGGGTGCATCTAAATCTGCTTTTCTTGCTTCTCTCTTAACTTGTTTTCTAATCTACAGAATGTAGAGCTGCTGACATATCACATTGCTATGATTTTATCCTATCACTGTTTTTAAGATTTTCTTGGTGGTATTTAGAACAGTTACTTCAGGGGGGTCATAGGAGAAATTACTTTGATTTGTTGTACCTGTCGCCATTAGTGCAGACATATTACAATGATCACATTAGGATCAAGAGAATACTTTATATAAATGTGATTTGGATTACGTTCTTTTCAAAGTCTCTTGTCCTGCCCCTTACTTTTAGCTCTAAAACTCTTCGGTGTTGTTTACCTGCAAAATCTTTCTCCAAATTCCACCTCTCCTTGATTTAGTCTCTTGAATATCACTAGTTGCTTTTGCCTTAACATTTTGTTTTACTTTAATCTTTAAAATACCTTGCCTGAAGCTCAGGATGTAGCTCAGTGGTAGACTGTTTCTCTAGCATGTGCAAGGTCCTAGGTTCAGTCCCCAACACCAAAGTGGGGGGAAACAAATAAATGAAAAACTGCCCATTGAATCATTGTCTATCAACCATCTTTTGACTTCTCAATTATTACCTGGTATATGTGGCCCACAACTCATATCCTTTTCTATCCATACTTAAAGTCCACTGTATTTTTAACCTTCCATTCCAGTAAAGCCAAATTTATTTCTTAATTCTAGTCTCATATATGTAACTTGAGTCTTTTTCCTCCAAGTCTGATACAGTAAATTTCCAGTCCTGAAACAAAATTTGGCTTCTTAGGTGAATTCTTAGTCTCACACAAGGTTTACATCTCAAAAACATTGTTATATTTATTTGTTGCATAGCTTGACATAGGCTCTTACTCTGCATTCCAAGCTGGTCTGGAACTCACTGTGTTGCCCAGGCTGCTGTCAAATTCAATGGCAATAACCTAGTTCAGCCTCGGTTAGTGCTGGGATTATGTGCATATGCCATTCTGGTAAAACACTAGATTTAACATCATTTAACAATTCAGAAAAATTCTCCTCCAGTCAGAATTTCAGTCTTTGATGAGTTGAAACATTTGACATTGTGTACTGATTTCTGCATGGCAGCAATCAAACTTGGATCTACCTACTTTCCTCCTAGAACAAGGCTTTTGTGGGGAGGGTGGTTCTGGGGAGGGAAAGGCAGGCTGTTTACTCTAGCAATTCCTACATGGTTCACATTGTTTTCATTGTATCCTTAGCCCCTGTAGACAATTAATTTTAGATTAATTAGATTGTGATTTTACCCAATTTTAAAATCAGATAACCAATTATTTTTCCTTCTTGCCTGTGATGTTTATGCAGTCTGTTAGCTGTACATAGAAATCTGTGTACAGAAGTATTAACCACATGTGGAATGATTTAATCAATGAAAACATTGGTGAAGAGCAATACTGGAAGAAAAAATATTTTTTCTATTAGCAAACAAGCTCACTTATACTGTTTGATAGATGTGAAAGCAAACTGACTAGCAATTGTTTTATATCCTTAAGGATATTTCTTGAGAACAAATTTAACTTTTGTTTTTATTTGGCTTTATATACAACAATCACTTAATATGTACAAAGCTCTTGTTAAGGAGATTGAAGTGATAAACACAACTAATTTTCCCTTAATTGGCATTTATACAGTTTGAAAGTACTAGTTGTGTGTTCTGTGAACCAATACTCTTAAGTACTAAATAGGTGAAGTCAGAAAGAATTTTGTACTTCCTTTCTTGTCCTCTTCAGATAGACACACACTCAATAAGGTGCTATTTTTTTGTGTGTTTTAACGGGGTTGGCATTTAAAGGGATAAGGGCTTATAAAGGGTTCTCCTGTCACATTTGCCCATGTGTGTGTGACTATCTTTTTTGCACATTTTTTTATTCTGACACACAACCCTGTGTACAATTAGGTTTCAGTTGAAAGGATTCTCAAATTTAACTTGGTGTTACTTTTTTTTTTTTTTTTTTTTTGGTTTTTTGAGACAGGGTTTCCCTGTGGCTTTGGAGGCTGTCCTGGAACTAGCTCTTGTAGACCAGGCCGGTCTCGAACTCACAGAGATCCTCCTGCCTCTGCCTCCCGAGTGCTGGGATTAAAGGCGTGTGCCTACACAGAACATTCCAGGATCTGTGTTTGCTACAAAAGTTCCTAAGGGCACCTGCAGGTGTAATGCTAGATTAGGATCCCTGTCACTGTCTTTTTTCCTCATAACTTTTTCTTTGTGAATGCTCCTTTGATATTTTGAATGTCAACTCCATCCTTATATGTGATTCAGCTTTGGACAGGGAGAGGGATTGAAGGGGCAAATCCTGATAACTTCAAGTGATAGTAAATACAGGAACACATTGCTATGGCGGTACCTCCTTTTAGGTAGACACTTAACTGTGAGTTAGCTATTATTTGGGCAGGCTTGTATTTTGTAGTTTCTCTAATGTTTTCATTATCAAAAAGTCAATTTCATGAAACCTGTGTTAAAGTCGAATGCAATGGAGTCAGAATTAGATTGACAACAGGTAGTTTATTAAAGGGATACTAATCACACAAGGGCCAGTGACCAGGTTTACACTGGAGCCGGAGTGACCTGCAGATGTCTGCTCAGTCAGGAGGGAGAGAAAAGAGAGTCTCTCTGCTACTTAAACCCTTGCTATGTCACTCTGACAACGCCCAAGCAGCACCTGTGGCCAGTCCTAAGCTGGCGTGGTCGGCGGTATCTGTGGCCACCCCATGCAGGCATGGTCAGCAGTACCTCCAAACAGGATTTCCCCCTACAATGTGTACTACTGGGTAAGCTAAAATGAATTGAGGACATTGAGATAATTACCGATATAAAATGGTGTTTATGCATGTATTCTGCTGTCAGCAGAATGGAAGGCCACAGTTTGTTTTTGTTCTATGTGGTGTTAAGTAGGGTTTATAGCTCCAAAAGAGTATATATGTGTGATGGAGGGCAGTGGATTGAACTGAGCCTGCAGGAGAAAATGATTCTGAGAAATATCAATAAAATAACTGTGAAAAAATAGCTTTCAGTAAGCCTATCTTGCTTCTTTATAATTATTAAAATGTGACATTTATTTTTAATATAGCATTGCTTAAAAATAAACTGAGAAGAATGTTGCATAAGATTGGCATAAGCTGCCGGGCGTTGGTGGCGCACGCCTTTAATCCCAGCACTCGGAGGCAGAGGCAGGCGGATCTCTGTGAGTTCAAGGCCAGCTTGGTATATAGAGCGAGTGCTAGGATAGGCTCCAAAGCTACACAGAGAAACCCTGTCTCGAACCCCCCCCCCAAAAAAAAAAAAAGATTGGCATAAGCTAAGTGTTAATGAGAATAAAATTGTAACTATCGAGGCCAGAACCCTGGAGTCTGAGTGTGGTACTGCTTTATCACTGTGCCTTTTTGAGACAGGGACTCAAAATCAGCTCAGGCTGGCCTGGAATCCTGTATACCACAGGCTGGCATCTCACCCGTTGGTGGTCCTTCTCTCGTCCTTTCAAACGCTTTTCCTGACGTTCATTGAGCTTGGGAGTGGATTTCAAGTTGTAATTTCCAACCTGCAGCACTATTGAATAAGACTCTGTGGACACTGTTGAGATGTTGTGACTAACATCCAGTAACTTCTTGCCACTTGCTCTTGTACTTGCTGATTTGTCATTCCAGGGTGTGGACAGACCCCTAAGCTGAACGTCTCCCAGAGGAGGATGCCAAAGCTCCATGAGTCACTCTCAGAATAATATCTCCCATAATTAAGAGCTTCTGGTGCTGTCCATTTTATGGGAATCTGCTTTAAGTCAGAAGATGCAAACACACCACCATCCTTTTGACAAGACATTCCAAAGTCACTGATTTTCAGAACATTATTTTCACCTGCAGGCAATTTCTTGGAGCAAGGTCCCTGTGCATACCATTTTTACTTGAGATATGCCATCCAGAAGCAACGTCTAATGAAAAATTCACTAGCTGACTTTTAGTTCACCCTTCTTTCTCAGAAAGGAGAGGAAATTGCCTCCTGGAACCAATTCCTTAAAGATGTAGATAGGTTGCCTTTGTGTGTGAACTCTTTAAGTGTGAAAACATTGGGATGATTATGTTGTTTGGAGGGTTTTGGCTTCTTGTAAAATTTTAATTTTAATTCCAGTTGCTGGGAAAGATCTTTATATGCTTCAACAACATTTTTATCCTTTAATGTACCCTTAAGTATGTCATCAAAAGTTCCTTGTCCTTAAGGAATTCTCATAATGTGACATCATCATGATTGAGACCCCATTTCTTACTCTGATTATGGTCATGTGGATACCATGATGTTCTTTTTTTTTATTGGAATATTACATAGACATCATCATGATCAAGGACCCATTTCTTATTCTCAAAAGTATGGTTATGTGAATATCATAATGAATTTAATTGGGACATTATTCACTTTCACTCTAAAATACTTGAGATGCAATCACCATTTGAAAGTGGACAATTCAGTGGTCTCTAGTATATTTACTGTGTGATGCAGTCATCACCATAGTCTAATCTCGGAACATTTTTCTGACCTAAAAAAAAAAAAAAAAAAAAAAAAAAAAGAAAGAAAAACATGCGGGTTAGCAGTCACTTTTAACTCTCCTTTTCTCTAGCCGCTGGAAGCTACTGACCCATTTTCTGTCTATGAATTTGCCTGGTTTGGGACATTTCATATAAATGGAATCGTGCAATATCATGTCCTTTGGGGCCAGGGTTCTTTCAACTGCAGTTATGTTATCTAGAGTTATCCATGGTGTAGCATGTGTCAATAATCCATTCCTTTTTATGGTTAAATATTCCATAGAATGAATGTGTGCTATGTTTTGTTTACCCATTTATGAATTGATGGACAGGAACAATTATTTTTTTAAGTATTAAAATTGTAAGTTGAACATCAGTGTATCCAAAACTCTAATTGATGATGTCCAGATTACACATGGCATGCACAGAATGCTGTGTAAAAAAGGATGTAGAAATTATTTGTCAGCATTTCATACAAGTGTGATTATTTTCTAAGTCCCCTTCTAGCTATGATTTTTAGGAACTGTTTGAATGTAGTATTTTCATTAATAAAGTTTAATGCATTAAGCATTAATTTAAAATTTGAGAACATGTAATGATCAGTAATGATCATGTTTTGAGTTTATTTCATTATGCAGTATTTGAAAAAAATGTCTACATAAAGGAAAGGAAATGAGTATAATTGAGTCAATATATTTTTAAAGCAATTTTTATAATTTAGCAGACATTGCATCTTAATATAATTCACTATTAAAATTGTGTCCTTGTGAAAAAAGTCGATGTCATTTTTCTATTTCTTTTGGCTAATTATGTAAAATAGGTTCCTTTCCTTTGCTACTTGTTCTGTTTATTTTTGATACATTATTCCTTGCACCTATAGAGTGTTGTACCTGTTAGTCTTTAATCTTTTTCTCTCTGTCCCACAAACCTTCCATCCTCTCACATACAAAATGTCCAGTGTTTCTTAAAATTCATAGTGTCTTAATGGTTTCTAAGAATGGATAAAGACACAGAAATATTTCATCGTCTTCTGGGAACTCCATCATCCAGGCCTTTGTTATTAACAGAATTCACTGAGGTTTCTTCCTGAATGGTTTTTTCCTCTGTCTTTTCCTTCCCCTCGATCACTTTCTGGCCCTCCATTTCTGGTCTCGTCTTTCCCTGCTGTAGCCTTCCTCCTTATATTTTCCTTAGACTCCTTGTCTATTTATATAACTAATTTGTCTTTTTTCAGGTGGAAAGAATGAAATGAATTCATGCAGCTGTGACCAGAATTTTATTTTCCTGAGTAGATTTCTGAGAATTGTGAATGAAGTGGGCCCATTTTCAGTTATCTGCTTTATTATTGCTCCATGCAGAAAACCTAAAATTGTTGTATTATATGTTATTGTACTTTAACTTGTTGCTTAATTTCTACATGTTTATTTTCAGTAATGGCTGGAAGTGTTAATTATTCCATTATTTTAGCACAATGTGCTGCATATACTTCCCAATAAGCAAATAAGGTTACATGTGTACAGAATTTCACTTTTGATTAAATATTGCCTGGGTTTCGGTCCTTTCCCCCATTTGAAATGCTTCCTTTTTAATGTTTGGAACTGAAAATAAGCAGTTACTGAATGATTTTGAATTTACCTCATTTTAGAACTCAGTTTTAATTTATTTGGCCTGGTTTTTTTTAATATTAGTCACTAAAAATAAAGTGGAACACTGTCTTATGCAATGCCTAAGAATCGTTTTATATAGTATGTGTACAACATTAAAACCTGTTCTACAAAGAAAAATATACCAGCGCTCACTTGTCATTTGCCATTTTTCTTGTAATTAGGAAATATTGGGGGGGAAGAGGGGGATAAAAGATTAATTGTGTTTTAATTTTACAGCTACCGGAGCTTTGTATTGCTAAACTTAATCTGGAAAAGTTTCACAGTGACATTTTTAGAGAATTTTTTATCTACTGAATTCTACCAGTGTAACCATTTTTTCTAAATAAACAATAGTTTTCACAAATGACTATATCATTGTGTATATTGTTACTTATTTAGCAGAACTTAGAAAACTAAGTTAGTCTTTCAGTTCTTAATTTTTGTCATGGACTATATTGTCAAATGTCATCTGCTAATATGGAAACATTGTTGGATTATTTTGCACTTGGAGTAAGCTGTGGGAGGAAAACATGCCTGATGCTATCTATTGCTCAATGTTTTGATGATTATATCTATGCAAAACAGAATTTTCAGAGTAGAGAAAGAATATACTTTTTAGAAAGATTAATTAATGATGAGCCTATCTTAGAACTGGCAAAAATATACATTTTGATGTCCCCTTTGTGTAATTGTTATTTGCAAAAGATGAGCAGTGCAATCAATTGTGGGAATGTGCTTTGTGCATTGACTGTTGAACACCTATAACCTGACACAAAATATTTCTAAAGAAAAAAATATTTATTAAAGTGCTTTGTAACTTTGAGAAAATAACTGATTTTTCCTTGAAATCATTGGTGTGAAATGTGTTTAAGAGCTTTCTGTTTCTTAATAATTGCACTCATGTTTTAAGGACTGTATGGTTTAAGGATATACCTTGACATAGGAAAGACTTGACAAAATTATAGCCAGCAATATGCTCAATAGGAAAAGAAAAACATTTCATTTAAAATCCAGAATGAGAGAAGGGTTCCCACTCGATCCATTTGTTTTTTACCCAATATAGAGTAATAAGATGAGAAGGAAAAGGGATACAAGTAGGAAAGGAAGAAGTCAAATTATCTTTGCTGATAACCTGATTCAAAAGGTTCTAAAGACTTCACTGGAAAAATCTTAGATCTGATGGACACTCTTAGCAAAGTGGTAGATAGAAAGTCAGTATTCAAGTCTTATCTTTTTTTTTTTTTAATGTACTACAAATATACTTGCCATGAAAGAAATCAGAAAAAAATAACAACCATTCACAGTAACTTACCTAAGAATCCACCTAATAAAGGTGGATTCTATAGTGAAAATATCAGAAAGAAAAAAATTGACCTTAGGGGATGAAAAGACATGCTCGTGGATTGACAGGATTAGTATGGAAGTGGCTGCATCCCCAAAAATGATTAACATAGTCAACAAAATCCCAATGACATCCTTTACAGACATGTTTTTCAAAAATCTTAAATTTTAATATGTAAGAACAAAATACCCTGAATAGGCAAAGCAAACCAAAACAGCATTCCTGTAAATAATCACAGTATCTGATTTCATTACCCTATACAGCCAGAGTATCAGCATGCTACGGGCACAAACACAGACTAACAGAAAATTCCAAAATGAACACATTCAGCTACAGCCACATTTTGACAAAGGTGCAAAACAGACTGGGTTTAAAAAAAGCCTCTGAGAGATGGCTCAGAGGTTAAGAGCACTGACTGTTCTTCAGAGGTCCTGAGTTCAAGTCCCAGCAACCACATGGTGGCTCACAACCATCTGTAATAGGATCTGGTGCCCTCTTCTGGCCTGCACTGTATACATGATAAATAAATGTTTAAAAAAGAAAAAAAGCCTTTGAATGAATTGTGCTAGGAAAACTGTCCACCTGTGGAGGGAAGAAACTAGATCCATATTTACCATGCAAAAAAAAATAATGCACATGGTTTAAAGGCTTTAGGTTTAAAGGACCTAAAGCAGAAATTGATAGAAGGGAATGTGGAACAATTCAAGATACATACAATGACTTTAGAAAAGGTCCATAAATAGCTCAGGAAATAATGCCAACAGTGGACAGATTAATGACATTAATGACAGTTCATGACATTAATGAGCTGGGCAGAAAAGGAAACAAATAGTAGAATGAAAAGACATCTACAGAATAGGAGAACATTGCCAACTAGCAGATGGGATTAATACCAAATGTACTTTTCAAATGATCAATGGATAATTTTCTATTGAAATACATTAGTTCAGCACCCTAAGCTATCAAGGAAATGCAACTGGAAACTACATTGAGGCTCCGTCTCACCTTAGAATGGCCATCACCAAGAAAATATGACATATGTTGCCAAGGGTAAGAGGCAACATAAAAGAGAACTCTTATATATTGTTGATGGGAGTGGAAAATGGAGCAGCTGACATGGAAATCAGTCTGAAGGTTCCTTAAAAGACTGCAAATAGTACTACAATGAAATCCAATGATGCCATTCCTGGATTAATATACTGGAAGGGCTCTCTGTCAATGACCCACAGTCTTGCTTGCGCATCCATTTTACTGCTTCGTTGTTCAAAATAGCCAAGATAAGAAACCAGACTCCTCCTCCCCCATTAATAGATGGATGAGTAAAGAAGATATAGTATATATGCACAATGGGAATTTTTTCAGCTATAAATAGAAATTGTCATTTGCAGGAAAATAGATGGAAGTTGAGGTCATCATATTGAGTAAAATAAGCCAGACCCAGACTGTGATTTTGAACTATATAGTAAGTAGTTAGTAGCATTTTTGGAGCGTGAGATAGGATAGGCCATTGCTATGTACTCCAGGTAGGCCTTACTCCCAGTTGTTGTCCTTTAGCATTTTGATTGAGTGCTGAGGTTGCAATGTGCATCTTCATGGCCAGCTAGCCTTTCTCTCTCAGCTAGTAAGTAAAAGTAAACTTTAGTTGGAACATTAAGGAATTCAGTGATGCTAGGACACGGTAGCTTTGTAAAAAGTGTGTGTGTGTGCCTGCACGCACGTGTGTGTACTGCATACATGCAGGTGCCTTAGGAGGTCATCAGAAGGTACCAGAAACTCTGGAATTGAAGTTACAGGTGGTTTATGTGCTGCCTGATAAAGGTGCTGGAAACTTAATCCAGATTGTCTGCAAGAGTTCAAGTGCTTTTATCTGCTGGGCCATCTCTACAGATCCATAGCTTTGCTTTTAACTGCAAAAATAAGTTACGTTGTAAGTAGGATATTTAAATTTGTAATATAATAACTGCTTCTGAATATCTACTTGTTTTCAGTACAAGATTATAAAAACCATTTCCTGTTCTGAGGGTGCATCTGACCATGTTTAGAAAATAAGGTGTCAAACCTTTTCTATAAAATACAGGTAGTAAATATTTGAGGCTTGTGCTCATATGTTCCTCTTGTACCTTTTCAGAGCTGAGGATGTAGTAAGAAAGCAGTCATATGTCAGTGAATGTGGCTACAGTGTGAGGAATAAAATACCCATGATGCCCTGCACATTTTTGAAAGCTTTACATGAATGCCATAGAATATGCATTTTATTCTGAATTTTAGTAAGTGACTTTGAGGTTTGTTACTTATCTGGAAAGGTCCTCTTAATCTTAGGCTTTATTAATAGTCTTGGAGATACTTATATTTCAGATAAGGTTCTAGCCTCCTCAGAGTATCTTCCTATCACTGAAGACTGAAAGAAATTTATTTGTATTAACCAAGAAGCCAAGTCCCCCCCCCCCCAGGGAATAAAACAGAAGGAAGGACCAGGCTTGGAGGCACACACCTTTAGTCCAGCACCTGGGCCAGGTGGATCTTTGTGAGTTCTAGGTCTTAGTCTACTTAGTGAGTTCTAGGTCAGCTAGGGCTACATAGCAACCCTGTCTCAAAAGCAAAACAAAATGGAAGAAAATATTTTGAATGTCTTGAGTGTTAGTGGCTTAGTGAAACCTCAGTTCGTAGTTGTACGGGTAATTCTTTTTTTTTTTTGCAGATTTTTTATTTGAATTAGAAACAAGATTGTTTTACATGAGAATCCCAGTTTCCTCTCCTTCCTGTCCTCCCCTACCACCCCCCCAACTAAAACCCTACCTATCGCATATCCTTTCTGTTCCCCCTGGCTGGTGAGGCCTTCCATAGGGTGTCATCAGAGTCTATTGTATCCTTTGGGATAGGGCCTAGGCCCACCCCTGTGTGTCTTGGCTCAGGGAGTATTCCTCTATGTGGAATGGGCTCCCAAAGTCCACACCTATGCTAGGGATAAGTACTGAACTACTACAGGACGTCCCATAGATTTCTGAGGTTTCCTCACTGAAACCCATGTTTGTACGGGTACTTCTATAACAGGAAAAGAGGTCCAGGCATGCAGATTTTTGATGATTTTCTTTGGTCCAGGAAAACAATTTTGAATATTTACAACACGTTGTATAACCTGGGATTTATGATAACATTCCTTTTTTTCTTCTTGTTCCTGAAATTATATTTTTTCATATAAGATATTCTGATTCTGATGGTCCCTCCTAGATCCTTCCCACCCACCCATTCCACATCCTTTCTTTCTCTCTCTCATTAGAAAACTGGCGTCTAAAAACAATAAAATAAGATAAAACCAAACCCGAGAAGGACAAAAAAGATGAACAGAAAAACAAAAAGCTGAAGAAAAAGCTCAATAAGCAAATATAGCCACAGAGAAACACACATTGGCCTGAATAGAAAGCCCTTGAAAACATAAAATTGGAAACCATAATATATAAGTAAAGACCTGAAGGGGAAGGGGGAAAAGCTGACAAAGCACTCTGAGGGCAAAACGAAAACAAAAACACCTCTGAAAATACCATTGAGTTCTTTTTGTGTTGGCCATCTCCACTCAGGCCTGGGGCCTGAACTTAAAAGAGTGGTTTGTATACTCTGTTGGAGAAAACTAATTTTTCATTGGAGAGTAGTTATCATTTGGAGATAACTTTAGTGTTAGGGATGGCTCCTTGTGCCCATCCATTTCTCTCTGTCCTGGGACCCCATTTGGTACAGACCTGTGCAGGTTCTGTGCTTGCTGCCATGGTCTGTAAGTCCTTACATGCATTGGTCCTGTGTTTAGAAGACCTGTTTCCTAGATGTTCTCCATCCCCTTTTGCTCTTAAAATCTTTCTGCCTCCTCTTCATCGGGGTTCCCTGAACTGTGGGGAAGGGGATTGATGGAGTTTTCCCATTTTAGGCCAAGTGTTCAGTGTCTCTTACTTTCTACACCTTGTCCGGCTGTGGGTCTCTGCATTCCTATCTAACACAGGAGGAAGCTTCTCTAATGATGGCTGAGCAAGACACTGATCTA